AGGAGTATGCTGCTGAGAGGAAACTAATGATTAAGTACTCATGATTAAATAGCTCACAGCAAAGGAGCTGTGAGAGTAGAAATATGCACTTGCAGCCAGAGCTGAATAGTATCTGTGGGATCCGCCTACTTAACCCACTGTTGAGGTCCAGTAGCTGTGAAACATTCCCTTATAGATCTCATAGGCATAGGTCATCATAGGCATCCTTCAGTCTCGAAAGACTATGGTAACGTGTTCTGTATGGAGGACTTAGAACAGCGTCTAGTGTGTCTGAGAAGGCCAATTCAAGAGTGACAATCCCTTCCACACTGAAGACAAATCCAATCTGTCCCCTGTCCAGCTGCCTGATTTTGCTGCTTTCGTAACTGCCTCTGTGCCTTGGCCTGCTGGACAAGGGTCTCTTCAAATTGGGAGATCTCACTCTCCTGCCAACCAGCTCACTTGGCTCTGTTCTACTTGTTGAATGACCTCAGTGCTGCTAATTCTTGCCCCTTTTTAAGATCCTACTTCTCTGACTAGGCTTGCTTTTGGGCAGCTTCCTTACATTCCTCAGCTTCACCAAACATCTTTTTCACAGAGGATCCTTGTTTCTGAGGGATACCACTACATTTCTAGCCTCATTTTGCTGTAGACCATCTTGTGTGGAATTGCCCCGCCCCTCTCTTCAAGGACTGCTGTGATTCAGCTATAGCAGGACATGCAGAGGACGTGGGACCCCAGAGAATCAACAGCCTGCTAGAGAGTGAAAGCTAAAAACAATCTTAAAACCGTATCAAATTATTTGTTAAGATCAGAGCTTTAAAAGATTGAGATGACTGGATTTTAATGTTGTTATATGCCATCAAGTTGTGACCTCCAGAATGTCATGTCATTAACAGTCATGCTCAGCTCTTGCAGACTCAAGCCTGTTGCTTCTTTTATAGGCTCAGCCCACCTCATATTTGCTCTTCCTCTTTTCCTGCTGACTTTGATTTTTCCTAGCATTATCCAAAGAACAACAGCCTCAGTTTCATCATTTTTTGCTTCTAGTGTGGGTTCAGACTTCATTCAATCTAGGACCCATTCGTCTGTCTTTCTCATGGCCCCAGGTATCTACAAAACATTCCTCCAGGAACATATTTCAAATGAATCATTTTCTTTTCTTCTCGGCTTACTCTACTTTTATATATAATACATGTGCATCATGCTTAGAACAATTGGATTTTAACATGTATTTTTTGGGTATCATTTATAATAGAAAATAAATTCACAGAAAAGCTGGCTGCAGAATGCAGGACATAATCCAGTGGAAAGGTCCCCATATGCAGAGTTCCCTGAATAGGACAGGAACTTCCTTCGTTTTTGTTACAGTATGTGCGATCACTTCTGACTTCTGGTAAGTCAGCAAGTGGCTTACCATTGCCACCCCTTTCAGTGAGTTTCCCTAGGCAATCAAAAAACCTCTCTTCTGAGGGTTAGTCTGATAGACTGTCAATTACAGTATTACACCTTGAATCTGGAGGAAAATTTCCTTGTGGGAAAGTTGAAACATCACACTCAAAAGCCATTTGCAGGCAGTGTTTGACCTCACTTTAAGAAGCAGATCTGGCACATATATTTGCCATTAATTTTTGGGATCTCTTTTTTTCTGGTGCACAGCCTAAGGAAAACAGATTACCATCAAAAACTAGCTACTTTCACTGATTTTTTTAGTGGTCTAATAAAGGACCACCTGCTGTTGCATTTGTATTATCTTAAGGACCACATAGCTTTTTGCAATTTTGTTTCCTAATTTTTACTGATAGGTTGTTTTCTTTATGCTTCTCCTCTAAAATAAATGGCAAAGATGATGAACACTAAAAGAACGGGCTATAGTGGTAAACCTATCATGTATTAATTTTTCATTGGAGGATTATATTCTCTGGACAAAAAAATATGCTGGACACACTCCACATAAGAGTTTAGTGTTCATATATTGGCTGAAATTTACAGATAAGTGCACTAAACTCCCTGTTTGATTTTGTTCTCTATTTTCTCTAGAAAATAAACTACCTCAAAGTGATAAGAATAAGAGAAATCAAACCAAACCGCTCTCCTAATATTAGTCCAGAAAGACTCAGAACTGCAGCTCACAATGCTATTACCTAAATGTATTCCGTCCACATGTGCTGACAATTCAAATTAAATCAAAGAAATTCATTTAAACAATTTCAAAGACAAAATCATAGAGAAGCAAAAAGAAAACATATTCATGCAGAAGAATAGTGTTGGCTACAGCTGTATAAAATTACCTATAACACTTTTAGTCTTTTGGAAGTATCTTTCCAAATAGGTGGTTCCAGGACAGTCAGTCTATTTCAGGAGAAGCAAAAAAAGAATCTTCTGAAACCTTAAACACCATTTAATTTATTGGAACATAAACTTTTCTGAATTATAACTTACGTTATTTGGTGCATGAAATTACAAGCAGAGCTTGGAAGTGATGTAATTGCCTGCAACAAGTAACCTCTTTGAAGCAATGATGTGATGTCATATTTGGGAAAAGACAGAAAGAAATTGGGGAGGACAAAAATATGTTTTCTAGTAGCTTTTAAAGTGCAATTAAAAAGCAATTAGGAGTTGATTTATTTAAAAACATTGTATACGATTAATCTTAGGGTATTTTTTAAACACAAAGGAAGCAAAATACTAAATTAACCCAAGAAGTCAATTTAACATTGAGGGATTGGTAAACAGTAATGCATCATTGTTATAGTGGCGATTATAAAGTTTCATAACAAACCACCTGTAAATGAAACTTTTTAAGTTCTGGTAACAATTTTATTTAACAAGATGGTTGAGAAGAATAAACACTGAGGCCATAGAGAAATGAAATAGAGAAAGAGTCAACCGATTTAAAAAAAAATAGAGTCAGGTTCTGAGATTCTCCCTCGCTTAGTATCTCTCTCTGACTGCTAATAAGTAGAAGAGAGGACCTCATATTTGGGAAAAGACAGAAAGAAATTGAGGAGGACAAAAATATGTTTTCTAGTTGCTTTTAAAATCCAATTAAAAAGCAATTAGGAGCTGCTCCTTTCTGGCCCACCGGTCGTCGCTCCAGTCCGGTGTTCAAGCACTTGTTCAAGCCCAAGACAGACTGGATTTCTCACACTGAACAAGTTGAACATCAAAACCATTTATAGCTTTTTGTCTAAAGTTGATCAGCTGCTTATCTTTTATTTTTAAGTAAAGTTGGTTCGGCCCCTGAACACAGTTCAGATTTTTCATGTGGTCCCCTATAGAAATTAATTGCCCACCCCTGCTGTAGACCAGTGGTCCCCAAACGTTTTGGAACCACAGTCTGGTTGGGGGGCTGGGGACTGTGTGCAGGGGGCACTACCCACATTCATGGGTGTGCGTGGCATGTTCATGGAGGGGCGTGGCACGCACAGTCATAAACCAAAAATAGCAGAGTAGTGCAGCATCTTATCAACTTTTCTGGAATGCACCCCATTTCATCTCATGCACCGAATAAAATGGGTCACAGTCAGTGGCGTGTGTGGCATGTTCACGGAGGAGCATGGCGCGCAGTCATAAACCAAAAATAGCAGAGTAGTGTAGCATCTTATCAACTTTCCTGGAATGCACTCCATTTCATCTCATGCACCAGATAAAATGGGTCAGTCAGTGGTCATATCAAATAAAACATCTTAGTGCTTAAAGTGCATGAAGTACCACAGACATTGGACACATAATAATTAATACTTAGGTATAGATGTGATTCACACTGAAAATTACTCTGTTTTGAAAATGTACATTAGGAGATTGTAGTGTTGTTATAACGTGTGGGCTGGGTGTCATACAAGAATGAACTCAGTCAACCCTGGATCAACAATATGCATTATATGTATAGATGTGATCCACATTGAAAATTACTCTGTTTTGAAAATGTACATTAGGAGATTGTAGTGTTGTTGTTATAAAGTGTGTGCTGGGTATCATACAAAAAGAAACACAAGTCAACCCTAGATCAACAATATGCATTATCTGATCCAGTCTCACTCCCAGTTCTTGGTACTTAAGCAATGTGCAGAGCCTCCCCATATAACCCAGGCTATGTTTAGGAACCAAGCCTGAGATTGTAAGAGTACAGATAGTTCAGCAGATCAAAAGTGCATCTAGTTTTGTTCAGCATCCTGTTTCGTAGTGAGCTCAAAATGGCATGCATAACTCTTCAGCCATGACCTTCTCTTCAAATTAACCCTATGTATCTGGGAGATGGACCAGACTGAGGGAGAACGACAAGCAAGGTCATCCAGTGAGTTCCATGGCTCAGTGGTTACTTTCTGCATATGGGCGACAAGAAGGATAAACAGAACAGTGGGCAAACCTCATGGACTTTTGGGTGCTAGTTGGTGGAGAGGGAACCCACATTCTTTGCAGACATCTGTCAAGGGCATCTACAACATCTTATTGATTCATTGCATTTATACCCTATTTTTCCTTGCCCAGAATAGTAGACATAACCTCCCTCCACTTTCTCTTTAGGACAGCCTTATGAGGTAAGTAAGGCTGAGAGAGAATTACTGTGCTTCCCCTCTTCCTTTTAACTTTTCCTAGAAAGGTAGCTGGATATCAACCTAACCTCCCTGTCATCGTTGTAAGCACTCCTCTATCACAAATGTCTATCTGGGAATCCCGGTGGCTTTTCAGAAAGTGTTTTAAGGTCTTCTTCAATCTGTGCCTGGCCTTTTAAAGGCAAAAAGATCCAATGGCTAAGATCTACTTCACTGTCCTTGTTCAATTAATGATATAATGGCAGAAGTAAGGGCCAAGGAATACTTAATACTTATTCTCTCTGTGGCACTTCTCTCTGTCTCTCTGTGGCTTCTCTCTCTCTCTTTACCTCTTCCCTCTCTTTCCATGTATGGAGACAGATTCAGTCCACCTTCTCTTTTTTTCTGCTGACCAAATCTGAAAGATGACCAGCAATTAATGCAGAGTGACATTGGTCAGTAAGGGCTACAAGCAATTTTGCAGGCATGAATTGCGCCAATGCAATTGGCACTTTCTGGCCAACCCTCCCTACAGCCCCAAAGCTGCTCAAGGGTCCGCAACTCTTCACAGCACATTTCAGGTAGGTGGTGGAATAGAGATCTGTTCTGCTTCCACGTGTTAGTTCATCAGTAATTCACTAAAATTAGGGTTCACCTAATGGTGGTAATAGTAAATGCATCTGTACTTAGTAATATAATCTGAGCGCTTTTAATGATTAAATATGCTACTGGAAAAATGGGTCACAGATGGCTAGTGATCATCAGAGTCATGCACCTTAATACTGTGCCTGTCTATGCAAGGAATAAATTCTTAACCACAGCTGGCTGGCTACTGTGAAAAACAACTTGTGTTGGAGGAGAGGGAATCAAATATGATCCAGTAGGGTTATGTTCCTAGGAAGGGTGGTGCATAAGAATGAAGCCTTAAAAAACGCTTCATTCGAACAGGTGGCGAGCTACATTTAATGTTTAATTTAATTTATAGCAGTTAGTCTTTAAAGTGCCATAACGTTTTTGTTTTCTTAATTTTTTTACTTTTTTTTTCGCCTAATATTCTTTTTTTTTTTAAAAGAGCTGACTCCAGGGAGTATTTTTGTTCAGACACCCGAGCCCGCCTCCACAAAATAAAGGTAAACCCTCATTCAGGAAAGGTTATTATCAGCCGCGAAATGACTGACACTCCACAGAGTCAGGGGGCAAATGCACCTTTCCATGCATTGTCCCTCAACACGCCCTCTTGCCCTCTCGCCCCGTCTCATGCCCGCTGACTCGCCGGCCTCCCTCCCGGCGGCTGACCGAGCTTGGACGTTCTCGGCGAAACGCGCTCGGGCGGGAAGGAGGGCTCCAGCGTGCCTCTGGGCGGGAAAAAGGCCGGCCTCAGGCCGTCCACTCGCTCGCTCCTCCCTCCACCGCCCTTTGGCGCCAAGCGCTCCGGGGAGCTCCAGTTCGCTTTGCCAATGAATTCGGGGAGCGCGTGAGGCAGCCTCGCGCGTCTCCCCCCCCCTCCCCGAACCGCCGGCGTGGAGCCGGAGCGCAGCCAGGCGGGTCAGTATGCGAGCGGAGCGTGGCAGGCGGCGAA